TTTTCAGAGACAGGCTGTTGTATTTTCCAACTATTTCTTGCAAGTTTAATGAACCTAAGAGGGATGATTAATGGTAGAATTTGCTTTATTGTTGCTTCAAGATTTTCATGTTAAAGATGGCATTTGTATCTATCTTTATTATGTCAAAGATTGGAGCCATTAAAAGAAAAGGAATGAAAAAAAAAGGTGGTAAACAAAGCCCGGAGAAGGTAGTGTATGCAAATCTTACCCATACCTTGTGAAGGCAGAGAGACTGTTTTCGATAGTCTCTCGACTCGAAAAAAGCATGGAAAGGAAAAGAAGCAACACACTAGTAAGAGAGTGAGATAGCTGAAGCAAAAGAAACAACATATAGTACTCTTAAGTCCAAGAATAAGAGAATGCAAAACACTACTACTACTACTACTATTATGGAAAGGAGAGATGTACGACTACTTACTAACTTACAACCCTGATTTTCGGCTTCTATTCCCCTCCTATCAAGGGTCATGTNTATATATATATATATTTCGTAGTCCATTTGCATAATGGAAGTAAGTATTTATAGGTCTACTTGATTGGATTTTTTCTTCAAATACTTTGGATTGAATAAGTTCTATGTGTGTTTATGATATGAGACTTAAGTCAAGTTACTAGATCATGCTGCAACTCAGGGCTAATTGCTATTACTAATTATTGGTTAAATCCTTGTTAACTAAGAAACTTTCAAGCATAAATCAATATTAAATATAGTACCAATTACAAGGATCTTAAAAAATAAAAAGAGAAATATTGACAATTTCTAAACAAATGACAAATAATTCAATTTATTTTAACAAAATCAGAGGCAAATGTAACATTATAGGAACGAGACTTTCGATACGAACCGTGGATATACCTTGCAAATTCATTAGAATATCTATATAAATTAACTTATTAATCCATAAACTAAAATTTTAACCCATAAAATTAAGTTCTTGGATCCGCTATGAACAAAATAAAAATACAAGGAAGAAAGAAAAAAGAAATAATAAAATATTTTAAACCTAGATTGGGCCTAAATATACGATCCAAGGAATATAGGATAAAAATAAGAAATAGCCAGATTTACAACTGTTATTTGAAAATTAGTCATAGTTTTAATATTAATCAATTTTTAGCTACTTTTTTATGCAAAAATTAAAATCTGAATAAAAATACCCTTAAAATCTAGAAAAATTCCAACATATTATGTTGGAGTTCAATAATTTTGGAAACACACCTATTATTCAGTAAAAATGCTATGCCATGCCATTCTGACAGGAATTTAACCAGCCCAATCAATACAACCCAATTCCAAGAAGCCCAGAATCCAGCCCTCTTGTATATAAACACCCAACGGCCCCTTATAAAATGTTTTTTCTTATATTAGGGTTTTGCTAGGCGGCTGACTCCTTTCTCCTTCAACCTCTCAAACCCTAGTCTGAAGTCGGAATCCTCTTCACTCTGCAATCATGGGGTATAAACTAAGCTCTGTATTTCCTATTTTCAATTTTATAACTTGTACATTATTTCTCTTGTGAAGCATTTTCAAATTTAGCGCTTTTTTTTAATTGAAATTCTTAGCTCCGATATAATTGTGTGTCATGTTCAAATGATGCTATTGTAGGAGTAGACTGGAGACACACAAAAAAAAACTTTTTTATATCTTCTTTGTTAGTTAATCTTAGGGAATGTTTTTATTTGATCTAGCAAGTTGCTGGATTTTGAGAAATTGAGTTAATATGATTAGCTATAAGCAGATAATAGTTGTAATTTGTAATGGCTGAACTAAATAGACCTAAAATAGAGGGGGAATGGATAGAATGGATTTATATAGGTGACTCCAACTAGTTTAGGATTGAGGTGTGGTTAATTGATTTGGACATGGAAATTTTATGTATGATGGATCTGGTGAAAGGGCGGAGGTACCCGGTGGAATGGTTGGGTGCTGCTCAAGCTTGCCTGGACACCACCCTTATCAAAAGGAAGTTTATGTGTGATGGATGTGTGCAGGAGCTCATGGCGGATGATTTAGCAGAAATTTGATGATTTACTTTCTTGTTGCTCAAAGCAGTTTTATGTGATGAAATGGGAGATGAAAATAGAAATTGTCAGTGAGTTCTTGAACAAAAATTAGGAGCATCTTATAGTGCCATGAGTTAACTGATTGAGATTTGATGTGCTTCTCGAATTAAGAGGATCAAGTTCTAAGCTGCTCTCATGACTTTGGGTATAAGAAGAAGATAACTGTCTATGAACTTCATTTCTGATACAGTTTCATAAAATTTGTCATCCAAATGTTGAGTAACAACGTAGTGGGAAGCATAGGCAGTGTATTTCTACTAAATGACTCCTGACTACAGGAAGACACGTGGAATGGGAGCTGGACGCAAGCTGAAGTCCCACCGCAGAAGACAAAGGTGGGCTGACAAATCTTACAAGAAGTCGCATCTTGGTAATGAATGGAAGAAGCCATTTGCCGGATCTTCCCATGCCAAAGGAATTGTGCTTGAGAAGATGTAGGCTTATCTTGACACTAGTTTTACTGCTTATGTTATTCGTCAAACATGTAAATTGTATCTAACCTATCAAGTTGCTCAAATGCGTTCGCAGAGGAATTGAGGCTAAGCAGCCCAACTCTGCTATTCGTAAATGTGCTAGGGTCCAGCTCATAAAAAATGGGAAGAAGATTGCTGCTTTTGTCCCTAACGATGGTTGCTTGAACTATATCGAAGAAAATGTGAGTCTTCTGCTTTCAAGTATTTTTGATTCACTTAAGTGAATAGTGGTTTCAGTTTCGCCGTGTGCTAAGTTAGATCTTTGATATTGCAGGATGAAGTGTTGATTGCGGGATTTGGTCGGAAAGGTCATGCTGTGGGAGATATTCCCGGGGTCCGGTTCAAGGTGGTGAAGGTTTCTGGTGTCTCTCTCCTAGCTCTCTTCAAGGAGAAGAAGGAGAAGCCAAGATCTTAAGTTGCCTCTTTTTTTGTCAAAATATTCTCAAGAGTGTAATGGACTAGCTATCTTGAGTTTACTTTGTGAACTACTATTAAGTAGGGCATTGTACTGGAATTTTGGTTCATTTCTGTTTGAGTTCATATATTACCTATATGCTTCCTCCTTTCCTAGCAAAATCGTGGCCTCCAGTTGTTTCTATGTGCTTTTTCCTATGCACTCTGATCATCGTCAAAGTCATCCTAGAAAATGTCTTCTTTCTGAAAATAAGTGGTTTTTTTATATACTTTTTTTGATGTTTTGTATGTGAGTTAGGAAAAATATTTTCTAATATTTTGTCGACAAAGAAAATAATTTTCTAGTCTTAAAAGTAATTTTCAATTATGACATGCTTCCTCAAATGTGCGAGTGAAATAACTCGCAGAAAAGGCTAAGAAGTTTTAGAAATATTACTTCTGACAGAACATATAAGAGATTCTTATTTGATGGATAATCAAACATATTGTAGAATACATATACTCCCTCCGTTCTAATTTAATTTATGTGAACATGTTTGATTGGTCACAAAGTTTAAGAAAAAATGAAGATTTTTAGAATTTGTGGTCCTAAACAAGTTTAAAAGAGGTCCAGAGTATTTGTGTGGTTATAAAAGTTTCTCATTAAGAGTAGAATTGGAAGTTTAAGCTAAATTGTTTCCAAATTTAGAAATGAGTTATTCTTTTTGGAACGGACCAAAAAGAAAATAAATTTACATAAACTGGACAGAGGGAGTATACACTACATATTTGACATAAATAATAGGAATTGCTAATAAATATTATTTTTCCTCCACTAAAATTGGGAGCTTAGAAAATGATTTACCTATGCAAGGCAGGGAAGTTATATTAGAAAAGATGTTTTCTAGACATTTTAGCTAATGTAAAAATTAGAGATATTTTACATTCTTGGTAGGAAGGAAAATGATTTTCTGGTATTTGTTTAGTAAGTTAAAAATATTATATCAAAAGCATTTATGTATAATTTACACAAATACTACGGGGATATGGTGGAGTCGAGGTTCAGGGTCGGGGATCGGGGTCATGGATCGAGGATTGTGATTCGGGGTTCTTCGAGGGTCAAATGTCGGGGGTCATGGTCTAAAGGTCGAGAGTTGGGGGGTCGAAGATCGAGGTGTGGGGTCTGAAATGAGAGGTTCAAAATCAGGGTTCCGGGTCGGGGATCGGTGTTCAAAGTCATAAGTATTTTAGGAAAATAAAAGATGGGGAAGGATGCTAACCTATTACCTTCATGTTATACATTAGCAAGATCCTATCCACTTTCTTTACATCTTTGTTAACATGATATGCAAAGACAAACAATTGCTACCCATTTTGAACTACTAGTTCCTTGCCATGTTAATTGCCATACAGCTTTTCTCATCCTAAAATGTCTTTCCACTAGCTATGAGTGCTAATACCCTTCATTTAGTGTTCCTATGTAAACTCATTGTTCTAACGCAAGAGACTTCAGTAGCATGATTATTTACTTGAATCCTAAACCAGAAGCAAGTCATCTATTTAACTTGTAAATCCATATTTTACCAAAACAAAAAAGAATTCTTTTAAATCTTATTATAAGATACATGCTTCTCAAAATTAATTGTCTTATTTGGCTGCAGAATAATTTGATCCAAAGGCGTATAGTTTATTTCTAATACAGCATTATTTAAAAAAAAAACAATAATTGTAGAATATGATTGTGACAAAAAAACCCAAAATTTTAATGTTTTCTGACTAATTGGCCAAATTTGATGCATCAAGTAGCTAGCTAGTTCAAAGTAACAAGAAGCACATCTGAATTTGACTTGGGATTAATAGCATATACTCCCTCTATCTTAATTTATGTAGCATAGTTCAGATCTCGAGATTCAATCTTTTTAATGTCAACTGTGAACTCAAACATAGAATTTTTAACTCTTTTGGAATAAGGAAATGCCAACTTATTTCCTTTTGAAGTGGATAATGAAAACTTTTAAGGATATAATTCTCTGCAACATTTCTCAACACTAAGACAATTGCAACTTGTGATATTGATTTGCAAATCTGAATAGAAAAGACTTCTAGGTTTTACATTTATGTAAATGTATTTGTGACATAAATCAGTACTTTGAACATAAAAAAAGATATGTTCTCAAAAACCTTGATCTTAGCTGAAAGCAGAAGAATCTTGCATCAGATAAGCCTTTCCTCAAATGCTATACAATACTGATGCCTTTGCCACCTGCTGAAACTAGCCTTCTTGTACTTGAAGCCTAACCATCTTTGAACATCAAAATTTACACACAATTAGCACACATTAATACATCATTATAAGAAGCAGAATAGGTCAAAGATTCGGAATTTCATGAATAAAGTTAGACCACATTTTGGGAGAAAGGAAAAGATCTTCATGATAAAGATGTGTTTCTCAGACTAATGTAAAGTTGTAATATTAGGATCGAAACAGATCTTTTACCTTGCAATGAAGTTATGCTTGGCCGTCCTCATAAATTGTTGTTTTCTTTATGATCAATTTCTAAAGAAGGAAGATCTAAATCAGTCTTCCCAACTACCTGGACAGCTTCTTCAGAAAAATCAAGACAATCAACGGAAGAATTCTTGACAGCAAATGGCGTCCTTCTAACTGCTATTTCAGGAGTATTTAGTGACAAATAGGCCAACTTACTCATTAGAGATTCAACCTTATCGCTAAATGGGGTTGTGCTGACTTCTACCTGACCGTTTAGTTGGTAAACATTTTTCTTTGTATTTGTTTTCTCAAGAGTATTCATATCATCCTTGATATCTGTATTATAATTAAGATTACACTGAGCACCTACTCCATCTCCATCAACTGTTTCACACCATCTAATGTTTTCACCAACGGAATCCTTTTCATCTGAAACAACCTCAGCAGTCTTGATGTCAGTATTTCCAGTAGTGTCCAAGTTCATTTCATTTTCCATAACGCCTTGATTTTCACCTTTAGTTGCAACCAAACCAGTAACCATATCACTGTTCAATACACTTTGGTTTTCACTCGTAATCACAACCAAACCATCACTTGGAACGTGTTCAACTGAATCAGGTCCTTGGTTTTCACCTTTAGTTGCAATCAAACCAGCAATCATATCACTGTTCAAAACACTTAGGCTTTCACTCTTAACCGCAACCAAACCATCATCTGCAACGTGTTCAACTGAATCAGGTCCTTCAGCCACAACTTCCTTATCTTTCGAAGAATTTGCTAATCTTTGGTTTTCACTCTTAATCACATCCACATCATTGTTCGCCATGACTTGGTCTTCACTCTTAATTGCAACCAAACCATCACCTGGAGCGTGTTCAACTGAATCAGGTCCTTCAGCCACAACTTCCTTATCATTCGAAGAATTTGCTAATCTTTGGTTTTCAATCTTAATCACATCCATATCATTGTTTGCAAGGACTTGGTTTTCACTCTTAATTGCAACCAAATCATCACCTGCAACGTGTTCAAATGTATCAGGTCGTTCAGGCACAACTTCCTCATTGTTCAAGGTACTTGCTCTTTGGTTTCCACTCTCAATCACAACTGTATCATTGCTCACAATGACGTGGTTCTCACTCTTAATTCCAACCAAACCATCAGCTGCAGCGTGTTCAACTGTATCAGGTCCTTCGGCCAACACTTCCTTATTGTTCAAAGTGCTTGCTATGCCTTGGTTTTCACTCTTAATTGCAACCAAACTAGCACATGTGTCATTGCCCACCACGCCTTGGTTTTCACTCTTAGTTGCAACCAAACTAGCACCTGCATCATTGCCTGCCACACCTTCGTTTTCACTCTTAGTTGCAACCAAACTAGCACCTGTATCAATGCTGGCCACGCCTTGGTTTTCACTCTTAGTTGCAACCAAACTAGCACCTGCATCATTGCCCACCGCGCCTTGGTTTTCACTCTCAGAAGCAACCAAACCAGCACTTCGAATGTTTTCTAATGGATCAGCTTCTTCAGCCACCACATCCATATTTTTCGAAGTATTTGCTCCACTTATTTCATGATGAACTTCAGGAGATAACTCAGGAATAAGAGTAATATCACTTGGAGCACCAGAGTGATTATCTGAAACATTTGACTTGTCTGTAGAGGATACCGGAGAGAGGTGCTTCAGATTTTCAGGCCTTCTATTTGCCCTAACTGGAACTTTTACCCTCTTAGTTTTCGTGTTTGAGTTTCCTTTTGGGCTACCAATGGGAGCTTCAGTCTTGGGCAGTGCAGAAGAAACATTTGACTTGTCTGAAGAAGATACAGGAGAGAGGTGCTTCAGAGTTTCGGGCTTTCTGTTTGCCCTAAATGGAACTTTTACACTCTTAGCTTTCATGTTTGAATTTCCTTTTGGGCTACAGATAGTAACTTCAGTCTTGGGAAGCGCAGTAGACAAACTGGAATGAGAACCATTAGGAGTATGGACTGCCTTCACCTGCATGACAATCAATTTAACTTAAGAAATTTTCTTTCCACTTGGTAATGATCTTATCATCATTATACTACATGTTGCCATCACGTAAATTATTTCTAATTGAAGGACATGAAAATAAAACCATATAAATAGAAGACTAAACTAACCCCGTCAAAGTAACCCATCTTCGGAGATGGCATGCGCAGTCCCGTTGGTTTCATAGAGGCCGGACGAGAAATTGTGCCTGCTTGCTTTAAACTTCCTCTAGTAATAGGTGTTCCCACAATTTCGGGCTTATTTGAGGTCTGATCACTTAAATGATTCTTCAGATCCAAAGTTGAGGTGTCGCTGTCAAATGATCTGCAGGAGCTTGTCTCAAGGCTAGTCCTTAAATTGCTTGACCTTTGGTTCATGGCAGCAGAAGATGATGATGATGCTGAAGACCACTCACTAATAGAACTAGCAGGCGATATGCTTGAGTTGATCTTAGAGGACATCAGATATGCTGAGACGGCAGAATTCCCAGACGGTACTTTACTCTTCAATGCAGCTTTTGAAGGGGTTTTGAGTTTTGCACTTGCAGAAGGTTGAGCAGTAGGTTTGCTGCTATCCACCTTTCTCCTCGCTGCAGGAATTGAAGATTTAGCTGTCTTGTCCGATGAAGTACTTCCGGAGCTATCACTTGAAGATCTTGTCGAAGGTATTCTCATTGCAGCTGAAGAGCCGACAGAAGGGGGCTTCATAGACATAGCAGGTCTCGGTAACACCCTACTAGCATTATTTGAGGCAGATGCTTTTGGCGTCTGAGCCCCTCTAACAGAAGCTGTAATTTCCCATTAAACCATCAAGGTCAGAAAAGCTGCTTAAAAATATTTACATGCCATCAATGTAAATTTAAACAAATTCTTTTACCGCATACCTGTACTAGTTTTCGTGCTGTTATTATCAATTTTGACTCGTGAGACATCCAAAGAAGCCCTTTTGGTTACACCTGCAGAAACAGGTTGCGACTTTGTGCTAATTTTTGGAGGCCTTAATGATGCTCCATCTGTAGTTCTAGTGATAGACTGCATTACACAACATAAGACAATGTCAGTAAAATATCAGAAGTCCAAATTCTTTCGCTAATCAAACAAATGAGAGAGAACACCTATTCAGCCTTTTTGACCAATAATTTAAAAGCCTACTGCTAACAGACTCAAAAAAGGTTAATTTAGAGAAGAGTGATGATTTTTTCTCCAAATGTAAGGAATTTCTTTGAGCTAACTATAGACTTGAAAATATGAAAACAAACAATATTTCTAATCTAACAATCAATCAACACTGTAAGGAATTTGTTTGAGCTGGCTAATAGAAATCAAAACTAGGAATTTTTATAAGAGATGCAAACCTAACAAATAAACCAAATATCAGTACGAGCTGCAATTTCTCAATCAGATGTTGGCGCTAAAATATAACTGATGTATGTAACAGAAATAAAATTTTAAAGACAAATTACATGCCTGAGTGACTTGTGTCTTATCCTGCTTCAACCCACCCAATCTTTGTGTTCCGGTAATTTGCTTTGGTTGACTTTTTGGTAACCCGGCTTGTGCTCCAATGATTCTTTTTGGAGCAAGTTTTTGCTTTATCTGACATTTGAGAATATAGACAATATTAGCTGAGAACTATAGAATTATGAATAAAATCTTCAGATGTCACCTCTACAAAATTAAACTTACCCTAGCTTTTGAAGCGAGGTCCACTTTCTTCACAGCTGTAAAAAGGTAACATTAGATTGGAATAATTTGCAGGCAATATGCATCTTTTTTTAATTTCTTAGCAATATGCATCTTTTCTTGAACATTTGGAAAAAGATCTTTAACCCCATAGAAAGTAACCCACCGCCCCTCCCCACTCCCAAATATGCATGCATCCTCCACTCTATTGAGAAAAAGAAATGGAAAATATTTAAAACAAACAAAAAAGACAAGGACATTAAGATGGAAACTAAAAGTGCACACAATTTTAACTATTTCTATGGCATCGTTTGAGCTGCATGACCTACAAACTCATGTACTTCCGTTTTCTCCAATCCATTTGAAACAAATCGAACAATTAACAATATTATATGTAACAGCTTCGTGAAAATGAGCAAATTCATTGTTGATTTTTTATAAAATAAGCTTACACTACAACTCCCTGCATGTCCTATTGATTTTAACTCTAAGAAGCTAAGCCTAAAACTTCCCTTCTAAACCTACTCCTCATCTTAACAAGTCCTTGTGCATCTACGCCTCTAAGATCCTTAAAAAAAGTACTCATTTGTCCCATTAACCTTTAACATCCTGCCCACATACATCCAAGAGTACTATCTGTGAGATATGAGGTTCCCTAGAGTGGTAGCTGGACAAGAAAATGTTAAAGTTAACAAATAATTCGACCATAGACATCAGTATTGAGGCGAAACTATCTAATTTCATGGCAGCTCAAAGTAGATGTTGCAACTGAGGTGAAATTGGCAGTAAGTAGGAGGCTTCTTTAGAAGAATTGGTTAGCATGTATGATGTAACTTGATGTATCATTGAATACTGAAGAGTCAAACCGGAAGGCCTTTAGATGCAATCTACTGCAGCGGTGCATACTGTAATATGGCAAAGGTGAAGTTCTAACTAAAGTTATGTTACTACAAAAAAATGGAAGGCAGTTTTACGTGAATAGACACATAATTTCACGGTTGGCACTAAAAAGGGGTGTGTGGGTTGTGTGTT